TACTAGACTCTAAATACTATAGCTATAGTAATTACTATAGTCTACAGTAAATATTATGGAGAGCGTCGGCTACATTTAATGATCTCAACACTCCTCCTCGCTCATCATAATATTTACATAATATAAAATTTATATAGATTTATAATCTATACTTTTCTGTGATCTTGTAAGATCAAGAATTGTTGCCTCATTAAAACCTTATCTAGGAAAACCTTATTTTATTTAAGGACAAAACCATAGATGAAGGAAAAAGAGTACAACATCATTTTCTTTAATCATTTAAAGAGCTTATTAACTTTCTTATTCAAGAAAAGCAAGTCGCCGCATACCAATGCCATAAGTAAGTCAACGATGATTGCTTAATGGGAGAGCTTTGGTGAAGAGATCAGCAAGGTTATTTGTAGATTCAATTTTCTTAATTATAAGTGCTTTATCAATAATCAAGTCATGAGTATAACTAAAATACTTTGGATCAATATGCATTGTCCTGTCGCCTTTAATGAAACCAACTTGCATGTGTGTAATACAAGCACTATTATCTTCATGTAAGATAGTTGGAGAATCATCATATGAAAATCCACAGATTGTTTGAATGAATTTATCAATTGATTGCAACCAAATACATTCTCGAGATGCTTCATGTAAGGCAATAATTTCTGCATGGTTAAATGAAGTTGCAGTTATTGTTTGTTTCACTGATTTCCATGATATTGCACCTCTATGTCTTAAAAATACATATCCTGTTTGAGATTTAGTTGTTGCAATATCAGATTTATATCATGCATCACAATATCCAAGCAATTTTGGGTCTGTAGATTTTGTGTAATATAATCCCAAGTCTTCAGTATCTTTTAAATAACGTAATAAATGTTTGATGCTATTTCAATGTCATAGTATTGGACGTGCACTATGTCTTGCAAGAACACTAACTACAAATGCAATATCTGGTCTTGTAGATGTAGCTAAATACAAAAGTGCTCCAATCGCTGCGAGGTATGGATATTGGTCTCCCAATATTTCTTCCTCCTCCTCCTGGCATAGACGGTATGGATCATGACCATCACGACCACGTCCAACCATTGGTATGGACAATGGATAAGCATCATTCATATTAAATCTTTGCAAAATTCGTCTAATATACGTTAGTTGGTAGAGAAAAATGCTACCATCTATAAGATGCATAATCTGAAGACCAATACAGAAAGTTGTTTTTCCTAGCATTTTCATCTCAAATTCATGTATAAGTAGGTTTGTAGCTGTAACACATGCAGATATAGTGCCCACTACATTAAGATCATCAACATATACAGTGATGATCACAAAACCAGTTTTATCTCGTTTGATAAACAAACAAGGTATTAGTGGATCACTTATAAAATTATTTTTAATTAAATAATCTTGAAGACGTTGATACCACATTCATCCGGATTATTTTAAACCATACAAGGCCTTACATAATTTAATACCACAATATTTTTCTGGAGCGGGTTGATTTGGAGATCCTGTTTCTAAGCCAGGTCGAACTTTCATATAAATATTTGCATCAAAAGAACCATATAAATATGCAGTAACTACATCCATCAGATGCATCTCAAGGGTGGCATGAACTGTCATTCCAATAATATATCGAAATGTAATTGAATCCATGTCTGGAGAATATGTGGATTCATAATCAATGCCAAATCGTTGAGAAAATCCTTGAGTAACAAGACGAGCTTTATAGCAGATTATTTGGCCTTGAGCATCTCGCTTGCGTATTAATACCATTTTATATCCCACAGGGCGAGATGTAAGAATGTCTACAATTCGACCAAAGACTTTCCTCTTACACAAAGAGGCATACTCTTCCTCAATAGCAATTTTTTATTTTGACCAATCAGAGCGATGCATTGCCTCTTCGATGGTTTGAGGTTCACGATCATCTTCCTCACAAGAAGGGCTTCTATAATCATATATGCAAATGATTCATCTACCATAATAGATGGTCTGTCTCAAATATCATTTGTAGCACAATACAGAATAGATAATTCTTTACTCAACTTGTTCTTATTCCTTCCAATTCCAAGATTGTTTTTCATAGGAATTGAAGGTACATTATGCATGGATATATCATCATGAATTAGTAGTCCTACAAGATGAGTGGCAATTTCTTGAGAAATAATACGAGGATTAGTTAATTTTATAGTTTTCTTCTTACGTGGTTGCTTATCTGGTCCACGGATTCTTTTAGTTGTTGTTGTTATAACTTGAGGTATTGCAGTCAATGGCACTGCAATTTGAGCAAGTGCATTCTGAGCCTCATTAATAGGAACTCTTGTAATTCTAGGTGCATCATTGAAGCCATCAAGTGTTTCATCTGCAATCCGTTTTAAATGCAAAATCTTAACAACTTCAGTTTCTGCCAAAGATGTCCTAGGATCGAGATTCATTGTAAATATTTTTGATGCTTCAAATATGAGTACTTTATTTCTTTGTTGATTGGATACTCCTCCTTGAAGAGATGGGAATATAATTTCTTCAAAACGGCAATTTTACAGATGTGCACGTAATAATGTGCCAGTTGATGGATCAACAATACAAATAATGCTTGGTGAATCAAAACCAACATATATGCCTTCTTGTCGATGAGCTCCAATGGTACGTCATTGAGGTTCTGGTACTAGAATCCAAGCACGGCAACCAAATATTCATAAGTGAGATACATTTGGAACATGACCCAAAATGAGCTCATGTGGTGAAACAGTTTCAAGAGAAGAAGGGCAGAGGCATATTAATGCTGCAGTATGTAAAACTGCATGACCCCACATAGATGTAGGTAGATTTGCATGAAGGAAGAGTGGCCGTGTAATGAGTTGTATACGCTTTATAAATGACTCTGCAAGTCCATTTTGAGTATGTTCATATGGAACACAATATGTCAATTCGATTCTTGTTGTAGTACAATAGTCTTCAAAAGACTTTGATGCAAATTCTTTTGCATTATCCATATGCAATGTTTTTATAGGATAATCAGGAAAATATGCTCGAAAGTGAATAAGCATAGATATAAGATTGGCAAACACCATATTTCGAGTTGATAATAATGAAACATGTGATTGTTTACTTGATGCATCAACAAGGACCAAAAAATAATGAAATAGTCCTCATGTTGGATTAATAGGACCACAAATATCACCATGCAATCTTTCAAGCATTGGTGGTAATTCTTGTCGAAGTTTCCAAATTGAAGGCCGAGTAATCATTTTACCTTGCACACATGCACGACATAATTCCATAAAGTCTACATCTGCAAGCTTTAAATTGTGCCCAGTTATACATGGAATGATCTTTCTAAAGAATGTGGATCCTGGATGTCCCAATCATCTATGCCAGAGAGAAACACGACTCTCTGAGATATATGATGCAAAATTAAATATAATAAGAGGCCGAATTGTAATTCGATATAAACCATTTTCTATAGCAAAAGCTTTTTCAACAACTTTATGGTTCTTTGCAAGAACCAAAACTTCTTTTCTATTTAAAGTGGGAGTCGAGAGGTGATAACCATTAATACGCACATCTCGGTAGCTGATCAGACTCCGAGGTGCTGAGGGTACAAACATCGCATGTTTATATTTTATGATAGAACCCTTAGGTAATTTTACCATCGTTGTACCCTCTTGGAAACAAAATGCATTTGCTCCAGCCATGGTCATCATATTTTTAGTTTGTCAAGTTGAAGATTTTTCAATAAAAAATCGTCTATCTTGCAAGATAGTATGTGTTGTTGCAGAATCAATGAGCGCATCATTTGATTCATCATTAGAGGTTCTATCAGTCATATAAGCCTCTAAGTCATCAACACCAATTGAATCTATGGACGCATCCATGGTATGAACTTCACGAGCCTTAGCTCGTAATTTCTTATTTTCTTAGAACATTTTAATAAAATATTCTGAAATACGGCACGCATGTGCTAAATGTCCAATCATTCTACACTTATGGCAGGAATGCATCTCTGATTTTTGTTTTCTATTATAATTAATAGTAGAACGTTTATTCTTTCCATATAGATAGAAATGGTCTTGACTATGACTACCTTAATACTTATGAGTATGTTTCCCATGTTTATATAATTTCTTCTTAGACTTTGAAATATTAAGTGCATGAGATTCAAGAACTGTAGTTCTAATAGGACGAGCTTCCGCATTGCGCAAGAGTAGTTCATTTTGCTTCTCCGCAAGAAGTAGATAGGACATGAGATCAAAATGACTTTGAAATTTCATGTTCCTGTATTGTTGTGCAAGCATAGCAGATGTAGGAGGAAATGTAGAGAGAGTTTTCTCAATCATTTCTTCTTCACAAATGCTTTGTCCACATAATCATAATTGTGAGACAATACTATATATTTCACTATTGAAAGCATTTAAATTTGGAAAATCCAAGACACGTAAATGTGTCCAATTATGACGTACACATGGAAGAAAAATGGTCTTTTGATGATCAAACCTAGATTTAAGATTCTTCCAAAGTTCTGCAGGGTCTTCCAATTCTAAATATTGATGTTGTAATGCAGGTACAAGATGATGACGAAAAAGAAGAAGTGCTTTCCAACGAATAGCAGGAGATATAGAAATACTTGTTGTAGGAGATTCTTCAAACATAATGGCATCCGAGAGTTGTTATGCAAATAAATTTGCTTTTACTATTTTTGCCCATAATAGATAATTATTTCCATCCACAATCAATGGTAGAAATAAAAGAGCTTGAAAATGTTGGGATGAATTGGTAATAGTAGGAACCATAGTAGAAGCAGTTGAAGATGTTGAAGCACTCATTATAAATAAATCTGTAAAGAAAATATAAGATCAAGTAGAAAAGTTGAGTAAAACGTACCTTAAAATATAAAGTCAAATAAAATAATAAACTTGAACTTGAAAAAACTAAAATATATATATATATATATATATATATATTTAAGGAGAAAGAGTTGTAGATTAAGGCAGCAGAACAGCAATAAAATGGCGGCAGCAGGTAGCGGTAGGGCGGCAGGGTGGCAGTGGCGGGCAGTAGCCGCGGGCGGCGGCGGGCAACGGCGGACAGCAGCGGCTGGTAACGGCGGGCAATGGTGGGCGGCAGCGGCGGGCAGCGACGACGGCGGCGGTAGCGGCGTTAGGGCGGCGACGGCGGCGGGCGGCAGCGGCAGCGGCGGATTTGGCGTCTGTTCGGCGGCAGTTCGGGGCGCAGGAGGGAGCAGGGAGCAAGCAGAGGGTGGAGTTGGGCTGGATCAAGTATTCAGAGCAAGCAAGGCAGAGAGTGGAACAAGTGCTCTAAACAAGCAGCTAATGTGTGAGGGGCCAGCAAGAAGAACAGGATCCTGACCCACACACTAAGCAAGGGTAGCAACAGGTTTGAAGAGTCAAAGACTAGAGCAAAAAAAATTGTGATAGTGTGTAGAAGAGAATAGTGCTTTGAAGAGTCAAAGACTAGAGCAAAAAAAATTGTGATAGTGTGTAAGTCATACACACACAAGGGTTTCTAAGGAGAGAGAGCTTCACACACACAAAAATCTATTGATGTGGTTGTGTCTAGTACACAAGAAGAGAGAAGATAAGAGGATGAATAATACTTCTCCACTAGACTCTAAATACTGTAGCTATAGTAATTACTATAGTCTACAGTAAATATTATGGAGAGTGTCGGCTACATTTAATGATCTCAACAGTATTAAAGTTTTTAAGTTTTCTTATAATATTAGTAATGTACATTTTCCTTTTTTCATGCACAGGTCTTGCTGGTGCAGGTCTCTATAAAGTAACTTTGTGTCTGTCTTGTTTCAAGCTTACAACGGTTGGCACTGTCACACTTCGGGTGAACTTTGTACCCACTAAAAATCAACTTGAGAGGTGGAATCAACTCGATTCATAATAGATGTGAGCAATGTAGTGATAGCGGATGGCAAAGCATATGTTGCAGTTTCCATTTCCGAGGGAAAAAGATGATGCGCCAGGGTTACTCTGAAATCTAGGCTGGTCCTGAGTATAATCCTCCTTGGTTAGCAGAAGAAAATCGAGGAGACATCATGTAATTGAGATCTAGATGTGTGAAGATCTGTTGCAAGTTTCCATGAAGAAAACTGGGTCTCGCTTCAACTAAGTATCTGGTAGTCGAGGGCCGCAGATGGCACGAAGGTGTGAGCGGCTTCACGTTTCATTACTCCCCTGAAGTTATAGAATGTTTTAAGAAGCGTTTGAGAAGGAAGTCAATTAGAAATAGGTGTCAACTTTTTTAAAAGCTCAAAGCAGGGCGTCATGATAGTGACAGAGCAATGCAATGTCAAGCTGCAAAATTCTGTCCTGCTACCGAACCTTTGATTGAGGTTTCAAACATCCTTGTCAAGAGACAGAGTGGGACACAAATTTCCAAACCAAGGCATATCCCTAAGAAGCTGGGTGCTGCACCAGGGAAACATACGGTGACAATTGTGGACACATCTCCAACTTGAAGTGCACCCTGCTACGTTCCGACCGCGCCTTGTCAAATGTGGTCCTCACCGACGATCCAAATAAAGCACTTTTACACTGCTGCTGTGCGATGTGAAGTCTTCAAACTAGTTGGTCTGACGGATTGAAATGAATGCGCATCTTCAAGTTTCAACTGGAGACACCTTTACATTTAACCTTCGTCGTATTTTTTTATAAAACAGAATTATTTTTTGTTAAAGAAATTGATCTGCAAACCCTGTTGACATGTCGGCCCTGTTGATCTCAAATGTTTGTTCTCCAGTTCGTTGCAGGTATCGCACGAGTATTAGATTCACGACGTTTAGTTTTCTGTGGACAAGCGTGCATGCACCTTTAGTGACGGTGTTCTTAATCCCTTCCCAATTGCTGAAGTAAAATTTCCGCAGAAGGGTTGGTTGGTACAGCAGTGTAAGACAAATACACGCAGATATATCTTAAACCGACTTACTTGCGCTTTGCATGCCTGTTATAGAAGGATGATGCTTTGGCTAGCATTACTCCACAAACTATGTAAGCGACACTAAAAGGTGATGTGCATATAATAAGAGGCTTGATTCCATAGAAGTACAAGAAGCAGCTCAGTCTGAGGAACGGCTTGCAGATTCAAAGAATCAATCCTTAATATCTGACTTGTCAAGATTAAAACCGATAGAGGGGTAAAAAAATGCAGACATGAACCTACAGAATCAAGGTTTTAGATGACTGGGCAATTCTGCAACAAACCCTGGCAGCACGGATTCCAACATTCAAAATGATTTGTCCACAAAATGGTGCAGACTATATTGTTCATACACTGCCTGACTGGGCTAGCTATGCCTGGTATGTCAATTGTACAATTTGGTGTTTCGTATTAAATTCTTTTCCTATCTAACTGGTGCAATCAACTACGTACAGAAACTGAGCTAGGAAGAGAAGCATCTTTCTTAACTGGCTCACTTGCAGATTCTGCGATTCCGGCACTTGAGCCGTTCTCGCAGGCATTTGAAACAATCGTGAGTTTCCCTAATTTCTGCAAAAAGATGCATAAATTTAGCAAACAATGACCTAACAGCCATACGAGTTAAACTCCAAATCCAGTGGCTGCAAATCAGACAGCTTCATGTACCACAATTGTGTAAAAATCGAATGGGAATTTAAATTTGTTGCTTTTCAGAACATGGCAAATTGCACCCAATCAAACATCTATCCAGATTTAGGTGAGTGAGGTATTACCTGATTCAGTGCGAGATCATTTTCCATCTCCATCCGCCTCACATCTTCATAAGTAAGGCCGAACCACTCGTCGATCCAGTGAAAGCATTGTTTGTGACTCTCCAAAAACAATGCCCTCTCAGCCTGCATGTTACCGCGATTATTCAGTAACTATCCCAGTGGCCATGATTAACCATCGAAGCCTTCATGCAGCCCCCTCTAACCCTTAGGAAAGAGCTTCAGTTGAAGACAAACATACCCCTAAAAGAGCCTGCTCCAATCTGTAACCGAAGCCCCAGTAGGGTACGTCGACGGTCACCAGTTTGTACGCAGTCATCACTGGGTCACATGCAGCCTGCACCCTCCGTTATCAATTCAGCGTGTATAAAGAGTTTATTGTAACACTCCCAACACGCAGCTTGGGTTTCTCACACTACGGCAGAGCCTCGTATTTGCGAATATATACCAGATATGCAGGATAATCTTGATAAATTGAAACAAAGGAAAATATTGAAAATCGTCCACAATATGGACAATCATCTGAATAAATAGCTGACACGAAGGCGCACTACTTCCTTGAAGACATAGTCTGGTGTGCTTGCCGCAAGACCCCGTAAATCATATTCAAACTTTAAGATATAAGTTGGATGATCACCGCACTCGATTTTTCCAATTTTAATCCTCAGATAGGAATCCAGTACCTTACAACAGATATTACATCTGAAAATCAAATATATCACTGCAGTGCACACGCAGTCTACGATCACAGTCTTGTTGCATGCTTTAGTTTCGGCAGCAAGCGTACCTGCCAACCAGGTGCAAGAGGTCCTCTCCCAGTTATCTCAGATTTGAATTTGGTAAGGTCTATCTCTGGACCACCAATAACGTAGTTCCAATAATCCTTAACGTTTGACGCAATGTCCAGATATTCTACCTTCCTTAAAGCGAGCGCATCCTTATCCAAGTTGTGTGCCTGTAAAAATGACCACATAAGCTTTGACTGATCCAACTTCACAATGTATATGTAGTACTACAATGCCAGTGTTCATATATCATAGAAAGAGATTAAATAAATCTATCAGTTGCTTCATGTTCGATTAAAACTCACAGTTGAAACTTGACATTATTCTCATGCACCTAAGAGCTAGAAAATAAACATCAATCCGAGCATTAAATTAAATATTTGTTAGGCAGGAGGAAATCAACCAAACTCAACCAAGTAAAAGCGTTGAGAAAGGACACTCAAAAGACACTGACACATGGGATCATGCCTCACATTTACAGTGTTGCCGTTATCTGCTACATGGATGGTTTCAATAGTAAGCTTAAACCTGTTCAGATATGGACACTGCAAAAGATTGAAAGTCAGTCATTCATGCACGATCGTAAGCTTTTAAAGAGCTGAACCGAATGTGCCCGTGCTATATTAATTCATTCAATACAATGCAAGATCGCATCACAAAGGACTGCAAATAGTGAAAAGTCATCACTACACTTTATCCTTAATATGGCTCTCGTATCTTCTTAAGCATGTTTCGCAAAGAAGAGTATCTAACCTTGAGTACTGATATTCAAACGAGTCGTTCAGTCGCAGACATGCATTGAAAGATTGACCACAAGTCAATTTTCACGTCCTAATCCGCAAAGGTGGGTGTTCATTCAGAATTGTCAAAAAACTTCGTTGGTTAACATATACGAAGCGCACAGCTCATCAATGCCTGCAAAAGTTGCTAGACAAGATTCTCTATGTAGTTCTTACACACCAATAATTGTGTTCATTTCTCATTCAAAATTTTCTAGAAGCTGTAGAAGCTATAAATGTAATAACGTGGGCCCAAAAAAGCCAGTTTCAGAGCTTTTACTGCTGATTAGAAGATGGAATCCACGTGCTATGACTATAAACTTTGACAGATAAGAACATGGAAATAACCTGTTTTGCATTTAGGAAACGCATTCCACGCCTCTTCCTCAATGTACATAAACTTCGTTGAAACGAATGCTGACAACCAGGAAGGAATTTTGCTGCAGCCAAGTCAAAACCAAGTAAACGAATTTTCATCAGACGGCTGCTTTCAATGAATTCATTAAATAGGAATAATCATTCCTCACAAGAGGCATCAGGCAATGACATAGACTTGCGAAACTTGTGAAGAGAATATTGAGGATCAGTAACAAATTACACCTTTGCAAATGATATATTTTCGATGTGTATTGACCTCGGCCAAATTCTTCATTCTCAAAAGGTTTGTTTATCAGCACTTCCACACCTTCGCCTCCTCCTGTCTGCTGCTCTTGGATTTTGTTGACCATGTACATTTGCGCTACTCTATACTGCAAATGATTACACCCGTGAGATCAGTACAATTGAAAGTCTTTCGGAATTGTTGACCTTCGCAGATCTTGCAAATTGCCCAATCCAATCCCCACAATACCAGGTATCTCTAGCAGACACTAGATTCCCATGTGGCTATTGAAACTGGTACTAGATGTACGACTTGACCAGGCTGTTAGTGCCATAAATAGCATGTTTATTTCGGTCGTGATGGCCATGTTAAGATATATGAGGTATTATACAGATGATTCGCCAAGAGTAATTTTCCTTTAGAGCCACTTGAATCAACAGGAATGAGTGAATCCTCACAATAGTAGTGCAAGAGCTCACCTCCTCCAGTAATAGCGGCATAATCACTCGACTTTAACCACAATCAGTCCTAGTCAAGGAGGTCAACATTGATGTAAACATTTTCATTTCGGGCTGTAATTAATCACATGTATCTAACTCAAAACCTCGCTCAATTTTCAACCGTGTAGAATGAGTCCGACAATCCACCTCAAGGAGAAAAGCAGCCTGGAGGCAGGTCAAGAGGTCAACATGAAATAGATCCTAGATTGATGTGTTTAGTCTTAAATTCGACCATGAAGGGCATGCTCCTCTTTTGAGAAGGTTCCGAAATTACTGAGGAAACGTTGAGGGGAAAAGAAATCAAACAAGCAAATAAACGAAGGGTCTAGATAACAGAAGAGACTTCACGGTTACAATGTCCACAGCTATTACGGGGCAGAGTTCGGCGATTCCTTAAGAGCGGGTACAGAGGACATCACAACGCAATGCTTGCAAGTAACAATATAGAGAAAATGGTGAGGATACAATTCCACGATTTGCACCATGGTGTCCTTAGCACCCACACCGTCGGTTTCTGCAAAGTTAAGCCTTCGTGAACACCAACCAAACTACGCAAATAAAGCCCTTCAGAAATCTCTGCTTGTTGGTGAAGGAACTTGAATCTCGCGTCCCCTGTTCTGATACGAAACTTGAAATCTAAAATCGTCGTGAGTTGAAGAGTGGGAAACCTGGATGTGCAACAATGAGTAACCAAACTAAGCCAACTAAGTCCAACTGAAATGGCAGTTCGTCGACCCAAAAGACACCGCAGAACAGACCTAAGAGATCGTCAACCAAACTATCGGTGCAAAAAAACTACTACAACCAGAGAGAACAGTATTCTCACCTAACTACAAATCTCAGACACTCACGTCTGCAACCTCTCTCTCTCTCTCTCTCTCTCTCTCTCTCGGATCTGGAATTCTTAACTATGGGTTCAAACTAAAACATATTCGCGGTGTCACTCGCATCTCCGCGACCAGAAAGAAGGAAGTTAACTAAAAACTATCACGCACTCCGAAATTTGAACTGTGGAGCTGAAACCGACTACTGTAGCGCTGATCGTAGGCGATGAAGCAGTCAGACAAAACACGTATCGTTCACTTCTATGAAGTGTGATAAGAATGCTGAGTAGGAAGTGCATGCGATATGGGGAGCGACGCTGAGAGAAAGGTGAAGTACTGAGATCTTTCGACTACGGGGTCTACAAATGGGGTAGCAATAGTTTTGGATGGATTATGGAACTTCCAATTGAAAGCGGCATGACGCTCTTGTCATCAATGGCCAGCGATTCACTGCACCTTCCATTCCGAGGCCGACCTCACCAGTCAGCACGCCCGACAACGTTCCACTTCCCTCCACGAAGTTCTCGCACAGCTTCGAGAATGCGAGCGCTTTGACTAGGTTTCAAAACCAAACCCACATCAGCGTAACCCGTCGTCAGCAGAAAAACATTTATGGGGCACACTTGGACCACTCAGGGTAGAGAAATGGCGATTGGAGAGCACCCTCCTATAATCTTCGTAGAGCTGCTGCCTGTATTGATACGCTTCATCAACACGGCGTCGAAAATATAAAAAAAATAGAAACGTCAAAAGAAAGAGCTAGCCATATTATTTATTTAGGTCCACGAGGCCCGTTCATGTAAGGCGGCCGCGTAGGCACCGGGCCAGGCTTTCGACATGAAGCACGTCCAGAGAATATTTAACTCTGTGCAACGGCCAGGGTCCTTGAACAAGCAAGGAACCAGAAATAGGTAAAATGTGAACAGATTTATAAATTCCCCACGGAGCTGTTCATTAACGATACTTACCAAGATTTTACGATAAAATTTCGTGGGCTTAAATTCTACGAGATAATACACGCACCGTTAACAGGAAACCGGCTCGTGCCGCCCGGATGCAGTATTAGAACTCCAATAGAACCCAGTTCCCGATACAGAAAGAAGAAAGACAAGAGGCAAGGTGGAGTGCACCGTCCTATTGCTCTGCAGTGTTTGATCGTCTTGCTTTTTGAAGAGAAATGGCGATGGCAGGCAGATTGGCCGCGCGGCTTCTGCGGCGTAGCACCGCACAGTCATATCGAGCAATTTCCTCTTGCAGCACTCCTTCGCCACCAGCTCACCGAATTCCGCAGACTGGTACGCTCGTTTTGATGGGTTTGTTTAGGGTCTGTGCCGATTTGCAAACCCTAAAATCATTGGGTGTGGAATTTTGAGTTTCTGAAGTTGAGGGCGCTTATTTTTGTGCCTATTTAGTTCTATTTTAGTGACGCAAGAAGAAAGTGTGGCTCTTTTCAAGCTCCATTCGATTTTGAGTTTCATCTGCAGGGGGTTGTGTGATTTAATGTTCCTGGAATCGTTCGTAATGTTGAAGGATATTTGCTTCGAGTTTCATGCAATTTCTCAGATTCACGTAGGAATTGCAGTGCACCTTTGTGTTCTTGTCACAATGTCGCTTATGAGTTGGCTGCGGATGTTGCAATTCTAACACACTTTTAATGATCAGCTCGATGTTTGGTTAGAAGTTTGTTAACAAGCGATGTGTTGGAAAGACCACTGGTTTGTGACATGCATGCAACGATTTGAGGGACATTCTCTTTTGGTGCAGGCCAACCACTTTCTCGGAAGTCGACGAGCATCGTCAGCTTCGCAAGCCAAGTTCGGCACATGAGCACTGATCTGAGTGCCTTACCTGACATCAAGGATGGTGATACTCTGAAGACGTTGCATGCGTTGTTGGGCACTAGTTGGACTAAAATCGAACCATCAGTTGAAAATGCTGTGGAAAAGTGCCTCAAGAGTAGCAATGACGATATCGTTGGCAAAGAAGCTCTTACAGATGCTTGGCGGGCGGCCCAGGCAGTTGAGAAGTTTGGTGGAAACATGCTGCAAGAACTCTTGCTCGAGATCACTGACTTGAGCGGAGGCACCGGAGAGGTCAGTATTTTGTTCCTCGTTAATCAACTTTTTCACCTAACACTAAACCCTAAATTGTTTTTTTCAAATTTGCCCACCATCTCTTAATGTTCTGTGCTCCTAGTTGCGTGTTCATCAAGCTTTGAACATCTCCACCCTAAACTGTGTAATAGAATTCAAGGAGTTTTCAAAGTTGTCTTTGAAATAGCACCTTCTGCATGCTATTATTGATGGCCACGTCCAAGTGGAAGAATCATGGTAATTTACAGTGACTTCATCAGAGTCACTGTGTGCACAGTCCTCACGTATCCTCTACAGTGATGTAGCTTCTTATTGTGGTTTCACAAGCAGTTATGGATGCTCTTATTTTAGACCTTCTTATTCAACATGGGCGTGGACCGTAAACTAGCCGGGAAGGATCCATTCGTATATGATTCAAAACCTCAAGAAGATTTGTTTGAAAGTCTTCGTGAAGTCTATTGTGTTTTACTGAAGCATATTAGAAATCTTTTGTAGTTTCAGGGCTGTTATCATCGGACCCTTAACTAGGTGCTATGTTCGTATGATTGCTCGATCAGGAGGTCAAGCCGATTCCCGATTCAACTTACAATGCAGTTGAAACTGCTTACAAGAAGTATATTGCTTACCTTGATGCCTTCGAGGAGGATGAAATGTATATCAAGAAGAAGGTAGAGAATGAGCTTGGTGGTTTATTCCTACAAATCAAGCAACGTCTTGCCGGCATGGATCCAAAGTGGTCTAAGGTCGGCACTCCTTTTCCATGCTTGTGTCAGCTTTTCGTTGTCATCAACTCCACCTTTACATAATTATTATGGAATTGAACCCTCCTCTTCTCAAATAACTGTCAACAGAAAAATTGATTGGTAGGCATCAGGAGTTAGAGATGCTACCATCGATAACCTTCAATCCATCTGAAATGATTTGTTGGTTGCCGTGCAGATTACTCTACTTGGAACATCTGGGCTATCTGGTTCTTACATTGAGCGTCGTGGTTTGGTTTGAAGTACTATTTGATGTGCTTCTCATCTCACTTCATTTACTGGTGTTAGTGAGCTTCTGCTAGTTGTACAGATAGAGAATAACCATTTTGCCATCCACACAACTGCGTGCGACTGAATAAGCAGTTGAATTAGAACTGCCGAAGCTCTTTTCTTGGGTCACCAACTCCAGATAAGCTGGAATAAGCCTTATTTGAGTACATCCGACGTTTCCGATGTTGGCCAAACACTTACGTTTTTGCATGGTGAATTTGGAGTTGTGAAAGTGGGTCAATGGGTCTTACATGGGGTGCCTAGTGATGATGCATTTTTATTATTATGATCTTGATTGTAGAATTTACTTTATAAAATCGAGAAGTGCAATCTACTTTGAAAAATTATTACATATGTCGGAAGTCGCAACGCAACTAGTTTTGGAATGAAGAGAACCAAGACCTACTTTATCTTTCACAAAAAACTAAAAACTACCATCAAGAAACATGTATGCATTTTTTTTAAGCAGTAAAATGTCCCAATACAAAAATCACTGTCATCGTTACAGTGTTACTTTAACAACGCTATTTACATTAACGAATGGAGTAAATAACATAATGAATAAAAATTGGTTAAATTTTTCCACGAAGCGAGAATGATATCAGAATTCATGGACGTGGAAAGCCCATTTGGAATTAGGATTTTACCGTGGATGTTGCTTTCTTATGGAGCATTTCTTCCTAAGAAGAGCTTTCGAGCTACAGAGATCCTTTTACATGTGCCAACTTTATCGCAGTTTGTACGTGAGAGCTCTCAAAATTCATTTATTGGATTTGTTTAGGGTACATGCCCCAGCACGTTGCAATTTTATCCGGGACTTTAGGGCTTAAGAGCAGACAATTCGAAGGTTAAAGATGTCTCATCGGGATTGTGAACTTGAAGGGCAACGGAGACTTGAGCTTTTGAGTGATTGAATCCCTTTTGTTATGCTGATCTTCGTTGCTTCAGAGTTACTCTGTTCTGTTTTTCTTCGAGTATTTTCTGCCAGACGCATTCTGTGATCGAAGTAGATATATTAGATCTGCTGGGTTGCTCTTTGTTAGGTTTCATGCCCGAGTTATCTTAATTATGTCTCTCAGACGAAACTTAACAAGCTCATGCTAAGGTCTGCCTACCAGATTACCATCTTCAGATCTTGGGTTTTCATTAAACAACAAAGTAACATAAAATAATATAAAAACCACGCATTTTTTTCTCACTGTTTCGGAGATAACTCCTTCAAAGCGCCTGTGCTTAATAGTTCCCACGTCGAGAGCCAGCGGTTGTGGATATTGAGATGACTAATTTTTGTTCGGCAATACTGGAACCCTCTTCTTGATTATTGCGCTTGGTATGCTTTTCAATTTTTTTTGTCGCAGCCGAAGAATAATTTCACTTACTCTTTGTCACCGGTGTGACCTATAAACAGCAGTTCATCAAAGTGCTGTTATTGTGGTTTCTAGGCTGCAAGTGTCAACTGAAGTGACAACTGCGACTCCACAATTCGTGATAGTCTCGGTTGAGTGATCCCAATCAGGTTCTGCAAGTGATATGACCAACTGCTTTATCAAAAATCCTCGCAGATCAAGCACATGTAGGTCTAATCAGTGGTCGTCAAACTCACCATGTGAAACGGTAGTTCTTCCTAGTATTTGAAATTTATGCATGCTGCTACATATAAACCTCACAAGGCTGTATTTAGTCACATAATTGTCCTATGGTCAGACATTCGCCATTTTTCATACTAGTTGGATTAAAAATTCTGAAATTGACCAAAAATGTGTTTGTGTGTAGATAAGTGGTAATTTACACATGCCGTCAATTGTCGCGTAGATTGGTAGCTTCACTTTTGTTAAACAAATTGTTATCGTAGTTGCTTGAAATCAAATTCTTGAAATCTTTGAAAATTTCCCTTCCAACCTATGAATAAAGAAAACCAGCTGAAGTGTCATGAGTGCAAAATTGTTACTGCAGTCGTTGAAAATCAACTATATCAAGCTCATTTGTGAACTGCGTTAACTACGTCCTGTGAGCGATTTGTGTAAGCGAGAGAGGGCACGAATCATCCCGATTCGACTGATGCTCGAAAGTGCCACCGAACGCAGTAGGTCATGAGTTCACCGGCACACTTATCCACTTGCCACTTTACGCGCAAGTGAGAAATTCATCGTTTAGCGAAGACGTAACAGATCCACAAAGAAGCGGCAACCGGCAAAACGCAGTCATGAGTTCTTCTTGAGTGGCCAAGAGGAAGCAAAAAGCTATGGCGGAGAAAGATCCTGGCCCAGTTCCTCATCTTCCCCCGTCAAATAGATATTTTTGTCCGTCGACGTGTTTATGCTTTCCCGGCTAGGTTGCTCGTGTTGTGCCTTCACTCAGTTGAGTAGAATAGAAAGTGATTCCAAGGCCTTCCTTTGTGTGCATTGATGGACTTCGTCAGCCGAATTTTTGGTTTCGTTCCCGGTAACTGCGCTGTGGGTCACTTCATTTGAGTAACGGCTCACATAGGTGACCGCACTCTTCAAGGAGGTTGCCGAGTTGCCGCATTTGTGTGAAGGCAAACCAAGAGACTTGGTTTTTTTTGTGGCGGAATTTTTGAGGACCTCTTGTCTTGGTGACGCTTGGAATTTGAACTCACGTTCGAAACGGATGGGTTTCCCCAGTAGGAATTCCTGGTCACCATATCTGTGCACTTGACATTCGGCTCATCGTGTCATCATTTCTAGGTCGAGTTTTACGAATGCTTATTCTCTCATAATCTCTTGAAGTAAAGGGTGCCGCATCCTCCTGCTTGTGGGATCAAGGGTATTTGGTTTCGACCATGGCCACGTTAGCATCATCGTCCCTTATAGGGGCTTCGAATGCGTCATGCGCTATGGACGAGGGTTTCCTTTCGACCTCGGAGACCGGTGGATCTCGCTCATATGCCCCCTGCACCTGCAAATTGATGGGGTCCAATCGGTTTCCGTCAAAAGCAAGTGCTGGTAATGATTTTTCATGGTTGCGCTCAAGGCGATCGTTTGCCTGGAGACGAAGCCACAGTGGCGATGCATCGTCTAGATTGCGTCGTGGGTTAGGAGTGGCTCAATCAGGTGCAGAACAGCCTAAAATGCGTCCCTTTTGGATGACCTATTTGGCTTTGTTTCAATCATGATGTGTCGGTGTCATCAGAATTCGTTCAATTAGTCAGTTCAGACGAAGTTTTGTTTAGGATTTTATCCTTGCAGAATGGAATATTACAAGTCGCAGCTTTATAATAGTTCGATGCTATCAATTTCAGGTTTGGATGATGGTGGTCAAATAGTAGCACCAGGTCAGACTTCTACAAACTCGGAGCTGTCAGTCCCTTCGTCAGAAATGTTATTGGAATTGCAACTCCAGTTACAGGTTGCGACAGTTCGAGAGGTCTTTCATCTTTCCCAATCTTTCAGTGTGCAGTCATTCTCTTTTGGATTGATCATGTATGTTGGGCTTTTCATGGGATCTTTCTGGCGAGATTTGCAATCTATGTCCAGTCGTAACTGCAGAACCTTCTGTTAAGTCGAGAGCTATGTGGGGTACTTATCATACCTATCTGCCATGTTATTAACTAATTCTGTCAATTCGTCTCAGGATTATGCGGAGGCTGCACGTTTGAGAGATATGGTGAAATCCCTCCAGGGAGAAGACCCTGTTGTGCGACTCAAAACCTTGATGGAGAAAGCTATTGCTGAAGAACAATATGCCGTAAGTACCGAACTTAGAATCTTCTCATTATAAGCTTAAAGTTGTGCTTTTCATAGCTTATTCATCAGTTGGTAATCATAGATCACCAATTAAATTCTGTACCTGTGAGTGGATATTAGTTAGAACTCCGCTGGGGCTCAATTTCACAGTGCGCGCTGTCTTAACTGCATCTGTTGCTTTGTTCAGGAAGCAGCTATGCACAGAGACGAGTTGAACAAAATCTCCCCACCAAAAGTAGATTTAGGCCTCCAATGCTACAGCGATACAACTACCAGGGTATATTAGCCATATGCAATACAAGAATGAATGAATGGCTTCTATGGTCATATCTGATAGTATCTGATATCGATGGGCTCCCATTGTGTGGTGAATTATTCCATCTCTGCTATCTCTTGTTACCGAGCAGCAAGGCAAGTCGCTCACAGTCTTTGCATCTGCTGCCCCTTTTTGTCTTACAGGGAATCAGAGTTCGAGTTCGAAGTGTGTATGTGAACGATCGCAGCCGGCCTTTCAAGCAGCAATATTATTTTGCTTATCGAATCCGCATTAGCAACGAAGCCCTGGAATCTGTACAGCTTCTAAGTCGGCATTGGGTCATAACTGATGCAAATGGGAAGGTTGAAGAAGCAAGGTAATGTGCTGTCGCTGTCGGGGTCTGCTCGTCGCTGATTGACACGATGCACTATGAGCTATTATTTTTTGATGATTACACGGACTCACTACAGATTTTACGGAATAGTATAGGTCATGCTGCTTTTCAATAAAGGTCAAGTGGTGAGCTTCATGTAGGAGATGCTTTTAACATGATTAATTTTTTTTTTTCAGAGGTTTAGGAGTTATAGGAGAGCAGCCAGTGCTGCTGCCAGGAACAAGTTTTGAGTACACCTCTGCGTGTCCGTTGAGAACCTCCAAAGGGCGAATGGTAAGTTATCTACATACAAAGTTTCCATGCCTTCTCAACTTGATTTTGAAGAGCTTATATGACAAGCTGCGGCTTGTGACCTTTTGCCTCCAATGAAGATGAACAGTGTTGTTTCCGTAGCATTCTTTTATGAATCATGGTTTGCACCTAGTGCGTTGAAGTATTGGGCATCTATGACCTATTCGTCTAAGTCAATCTTTTACTGTTGCTGCCAGCTTGAGAACTAATGAGTGAACAATCCCTATTCTTTTTTGTATTACAGGAAGGTACCTACCAGATGAAATACCCCGCCGATAAGTCAGTAGCCACCTTCGATGTGAAGATCGGACCTTTTGCTCTTTCTGTCAATGGTGATGAGGGTGCGTCAGCGGCGTAACTGGACACCGCTTAACGATGGATACTTCTAGTGCCTATCAAAACATTACCATTACTTACACTGTCAAGGTTGTACTGGCTGGATGTGTAGCAATCTTGATTGCCTACTCTGGTATGAGGAGTTGACTTCGAAAGCCTCACTTCAGTACTTAAGCATAGAGCAAGTTTTGCGTATGTGCTTGAGGGTACTTTCGTGTGATTGGTGTTTGGACGGATTTTATATTTGTCCTGTTGTAGCATTAGCAAACTTATGGTTCAGGAACCACCTTATACAAGAAGGAGGCAGAGTATGCAGTGGGCTTCTAAGACTGTCATTGTGGATTCCAAAGAGTAGCGTTGCGAGAGTTGCCTTTCTTCAAGAGAATAGATTAGAAATTATCAATTTTGATTTAGTTGATTTTACAGAGTGGGTCACCTTGTATTTTGGTATATATTTCATAGCAGCTGAATTTTACGGGCTAGACGCTTTGTGGTTTCTTGATGTCCCGCCAGTGTTTGTGAACTAGCTGAAGGAAAAATGGAGTAGCATTGCATCCGATGACAGAGTATTTCCCACATAAAGCACTGAAACGGATTTAGCTGGTGAGCACTGCTAGTTAGTGACCCCAGCAAAAAGATGCCAAGTGTATCGGAAAGAATGCTCTTAATCTTCAAGATTTTTTAATCCTGCGAACATCACCTGCCGTGTGTAAACAGACGTGCAACGAAGCAAGGTTCTGTGGGTTCATTCTATCCAGATGACCTGTGAGGTTTAACATATGATTCACATTCTTTTTGTGTTGCAGCCTTTATCTGCATCAGAACACTATCAAGATCAAATGATTATTTCTTCCTGCTTCAAACTTTGCCATAACAATTCCACCTGCCAGAACCAGATCAATGAAATGAGTGCACAAAACTTCCTGGTGGATATGTTTGTCTTTCGATTTGGAAATTATCATTCTCTCGCGAGAAGCTGCTCATTCAGTATCATACATTGGTGAACTTTTGTCTCCAATGAAGATGAACAGTGTTGTTTAGAGTTCGCATTCGTGAACTCCAAACAACGTTCAAAACCACAACGATCTAAAATTTCTGATATTCCATATTCAAAGACGTCTAAAGGTAGGAAAGGCAGACATCACCAAACTCAACTGTTTGCATTTGGGAGGGAAAATTAGTTAATTTAGAAATTCTAAAGACAGCGTAGACGCAGCACAAAGTCAAACTATAATTAAACACACATATGTAGTACCAAGCTTAATACAAGCACTCGATACCGTTGCCACACACAGAAAATGTCCCTTATGCCCCTTCGACACGAGTTTGCCGCCCCATGCTACCAAGGCGGTTCCCTCCCAGCAGATGATTCTTTATAATTAATCGATGTTGTTCAACCAGCGAAATACCGCCTCTTGTGGAATCTACCTTGGAAATTTGACAGCGGCGAAATCAATGCCATCTGAATAGAAGCGGCAGTCGCCTCGGGAACTCGCAGGAGGGAGAACTGAACGATGGTGGTCAACATGCTGACTGAAACATGGTGTGAGAAAGTGGGGCCGTAGATTCGTTTGTAAAATTTCACATTCGGCCGCGAGAGGAACACAAGTTGCAATTTTCATCGCTTGTCCAAGGGATGTTACCGGCCGATAATGCGGCCTGGTTGGGCCCACATGAGAATAACTGGACAACACCCGGCTTCAAGCAACGGAATTGTGTGCGACAAATGATCTATAATGGAGAAGAGCATGGCGGATCTTGTGGCGACCTTATTGTGGTGTGTTTACACTGCCAGAGTTGCACTGGGTGATTAAGTTTTGCCAGATACAAGGCGATAAGTAGAGTAAAATACCACAAAATTGCTGGTGCAGAACTTCGGAGGTCGGTTGCTGCAATGCATTCTCCCGCAATTGAGAAATTGATCGCGAACTCCAAAAATGCTCATTGAAAGAGCATTGCCGACAACCCTGGTCGATATGACACTGTGACTGTTCACGAGACCAAAACGATTCCTCGATTTCAAGATTCTGCATTTGTCGGTATTTGGATTCCTGTTCCCGAATCCTGCTGTTGGTTGTGTCTTCTCAACTCTTCCGAAGGTTTCAATCTTTCTTTGTTAATTTCAGATTTAGGGAATAACAAAAGTATGCCACAAACACACATATATACATACATACATTGGCGAATGTTAAATAGTTCCAGCCTTAATGAAGAATATTGATGAAGAATATGGTAATCATCAATAATGATTACCATATGAATAATATGAATGTGGTTGGTTTTTATTTGTTGCAAACCCAATAATGGAAAATACATCTAGAAATCATTATTTTTTTTAATGATGGTTAGGATAGGTGGGTTGATTTAGTAAAAACTTGGATTTATTTAATATTATTATATATAGAGAGAGGGAGAGAGATAGATAGATAGATAGACATATATAAACATAATTGCCAATGCTATCACATCTAATTATATTATTTGCTATTGTCACCACAATCTTACCACTTATTCAACATATATTTTTAGTTTTTTATTTTTTATTTCAATAATATATATGTGTGTGTATTAAAAATATTTAATTATATTTAATTCTAAAATACTATAAATACGGAATTCGATATAAATTTTACTTATTAATTTAGCATTAACAAAAGGTATAGGTAGCATGTGATGGATAGCAAGTTGTACTAACACCAACAAAAATTGTAGTGACATGTTGTAGATGGTAAATGTGGTGGTAATAGCAATACATATATATATATATATAATCAATTAAAGTGCAATATAAAGAATTTTTATTGAATGATTGCAATAGCAATCATCCATCACATTATTTGTAACATTTTGAGATGAAATAATTCTTTGCTACTTCATTCAAGGGGAGAATAGGAAAATAAGGATTTAAATGTTTTAGAATTAAAATCAACAAAAGATTAAAACAATTGCATATGGAAGCTATGTTTGGAGAATGGTAACTCCAATATTTAATGGTATAGAGTGATTGATATGTGATGAATAAATGAAATAGAAAGTAAAAATGTAAAAAATAAAAAATACAAAAATACAAAAACCCATAGAGCAATTTGATCAATTGATGACATATTTACATTCAACCAACAATTTTGAATCTTTTAAAGTTATTTTTTAAATTTTAATTTATTGAAGTTTTTATTTTGAAAATTATTATTATTTTTAATTTCAAATTTTTTTTAAAAAAAAAAGTTGTAATAGAATAGTTGAAGTAGCTATCAAGTTAATAAAACAAGGACACATATATTTTGAAACATGTCCCAATTATTTTGATAATTGTCAAGTTTACTTATTATTTCATTTGAAATTATTGAATTTATTTTTACCACCATTCTTTTTGTCTTGTACTAGTCTTTTTGTCCTTAAAAAACTAATGAGTAACTCAAGAAGGTACCAAAAAAACTAAAAAGGGCTATCCAAATATTATTTTCTTAAATAATTGATATAGTATTTTTATTAATTTTAGAAAGAAAGAGAATATAAATGATTCTTAAATATGGTATCAAAATATTAGTTTTTGAAATTTCAAAAAAATATATTATATATTAATAATAGATATATTATTTAATTAATAAGTAGATAATTTTAATAAATAAATAGATAGATTTAATAAATAAATAGATAATTTTAACAAAAATTAATCTAATATAAATCTAATTTTTTTAAAATTTTAAAATATAAATTAGACTTCATCCATTGTAATGTAGCATGTATTGAAATTCAAGCAAATGCTCTAGCATAATTCAATCAATTGAATGTATTGGATGCATTTAGAATTATTGATAAATATTATGTAATCTAATTTTATTTATCAATTATTAAAGACAATAAAAAATTACAACAAGCAAAAAAAATCTAATATACAAAATAACAATGTAATAAAGTAGTGTCAAAAAATATACATACTTTTGTAAAATAAAAAAGATTTTGATAGAATCTAAACTTATATAAAATAAGGTACAAAGAATTTTACATAATAGAATTTGACAACAAGAAATCACATCTCAAAGGTAAATCTACCTAAATCAATAGTTTTCTTTAAAATATCCTCTTGTTTTTTTATACAAACAAAAAGAAGTATTTAATTGTTATAGAATGTTTTTTCAAGCTAAATATATCCAAATATAATTGATAAGAAATAAATAGAAAGTAAACTTACTACAAGAATGAACAACAATACAAGACACATGCCACATAATGGTTGTTTTATAATAATAAAAACTTGGCATTATCATGTTGTAACATAATTATATAGTAAAAATATGAACAAAACCACTTTTTCACTTACTATTCCATCATCTTCGTTCAACAAGAATTTAAGTCATTTAAACAAGGCTTCATAAAATTTTCTTATTTTATTTTGATTGTCTTAATATCTAATAGGTTAAAGTTAGTTAGCAATTTTTCTTACAAGTTGTGTTTTATTGTAAAAATGCTTCTACCATATTAAAAAGCCATAAAATAATAAAAATAAAGTAAATTAGATAAATAATTGATATGATTGATTCTAAGGTAAAGTTAATTATAGGATTGTGCTAAAAGAATTCTAGGATTAATTGGATTGATATTTGGAAAACAATTGTTTGCAAACCATAGTCAAAATTAGACCCCTATCTACAAAAATGATTGTGTACGACAAAATACAAAGGAATTGGAAGATTAGCATGTAATATTGGCAAATTAACTTTGAGTTTGTTCTAGAAGCAAAAGACTTATTTCATTTGGTTTTGTAGTGACTTTGAAAGAACTATTCAAAATCAAAGTTTGTATTAGTGATTAGGATTTTATATAATAAAATAAGGACTAGTATATTAGATAGTTTATGCATTCCAAACAACATCTATAGTTGGAATTTCTTAAGTGAATAATTAATTGTGTGTGGTAGATGTGTGTAAAACTTCATGCCATCATAGCTATGCATATAAGAAATATCTAATTATAAGTACAAGGAGGTACCAGGTTTAGGGTGTTTTAGGGCTTGTTAGGATTTTGTAATATCTAAATATTTGCTTGTTAAAAAAAAAAAAAAAAAAAAAAGAAAAAAAAACTTGGCATGTGGTTAGAGCATAATGGTATAGAGCAGCAGAGCTGAGCTCAGTGTATTCTCCTCCACACAGACGTTGGGAATGGCACTGACACAAGCCATGAAAACACACAAAATGGATGTCAAAGCCACACTGATCCGCAGTGATCTCAATCAGACCCCGCATACACACACTCGCCTGGCAGGCCCACACCTTGAGAAACGATGCTTCGCCCGCACTTCGGATGGAGGGGCGGACGGAGGGGGGAGCATTGTGCATTTTACCACCACTCTGCGAATCAACACATGTGCATAATTCTCTGGTGCTTCATATCCTTGAGACCCACCTTCCGGTTGCGGGATTCAGCTGCATCTGGTGATGACTAGGGGTAGGGGGCATCTTCACTCTAAGGCAGCTCTACGTTTGTGTGTGACGCGTAGGAATTCAACGCAGATTTTGATATGAGCAGTCCTCACACGCTTTCCCCTCAAAGGTTCTCGACTATTCCTAGTCTGGGTATCCAGGGTGGTTTCGCTTTCTGACCTTGACGTCGTGTGGGAGTGCGGTTATTATGTCCAACCCTTAAGAAGTGGAGTCCAAACCTTGGAACCGTTGTTTTGGGTTTTAGTCCATCATGAAGCTGCAGGGGATTCTTGCAACTCTGTACTGGCGATGTGGGTTTGAATCTTGGAAACAGGGAATTGTACTCATTTGTTGAAGCCGGAGGGGGAGATTGTTCCTGAAGATGGAATCGATCCTGGAATTTTAGGTGTGCGAGATCTGCTTGTGGAAGCTGATGTTTGCTTTGGGGACGTGAAACGGATGTGTCGTAGCTAGAGCTTAGGGCATGATCAGGGGTGCTCGACATTCTGTCTTTGCGTACTTAGAGATAAGTAAATTTTGGCCACCGGACGATGGATATCATACAGGCAGTCACCCAGTTTGTGGGAATCTTTCAAGCAGGTTCTGAAATCTTTGCGATAGGCTCCTAGATGTAGACTTCTCTGAAAACATTCGTGCTTGTTTGGGCACGAGTGTGTTGGCTTGCGTCCTTTTCACTCCAGCTTGAAGTTTTTCACCACGGTCATCGATTTTTTTAGATACAGAAATAAGAATAGGGCGGTTATGCTCTGAGCTTTTTGCAGGGTTTCGTTCTCCTGGGCTACGGGCTGCGGTCTCCAGTAGCTCGAGATTCCTGAGTGCTGTTGCTTGTTGAGTAGAGGTAATCTTAAATATCGATTTTCAAATATGAGTTTCTGGGTTCCTTGTGGCAAGCTTGATGCTCTGCCTTTTAGTTTGTAGGGTGGATTGCAGCGACGTGCAGGGCAGGCACCATGCTTTCGGTGGTGTCCGGGGGGCATATGGGTTTCGCCTTCATGGGGAACATATTGAAGGCTTTTCGTTTTATAACAGAACTGAAGCCGGTGAGTGCAAGCGATATCGAACTCCTGGATTTTCCTACTCTACCAGTTGCACTTTAGAACTGCTTCCTCATACTCTCTTCTCAGACTACAGCCTGGTTTATCAAAACCGCTGGTCCTTGACGCCTTCCATTCAATTTTAAGGACAAATAGCTTTTTAAAGATTTGCAATCCTTAGTACAGCTCCATTTATCTAAAACAACCCTGGGACTGCAGCTATAAGCGATTGATACTGACATCGCCTTTGAAATTAATGTGACAATCAGAGCCTGACATGGACGTCCGAAACTGACTGCCGAACACCACAGGAATGCCTGAAGCGCATCCTATCATGCATTATCAGCATTGAGCGCTGCAAGGGCTCATTGCACTTCAACCATGTTCTCTGCGAGACTTTTATGGGCAACTATTTACTTCGTGCTAGGGATTTGCTAGAGGGTCGAAAAGACGAAATTGAAACCTACGGTGAGCAATGTTTCAATGAATTAACAGCACTCCATCACACGGTGAAGGAGGCTGAGTTTTTTATTCACAAACATTGCATGGATGCCAACTGGATCAAGGCCGCTGTGGAGCTCGTGGAGAACACTTCCGCCTTTGCGGAGATCATCCTTGATCTAAATTGGTACATGAATGCACTGGGTATTGCTATTGAGGTTGCAACCGGCACAGCGTCATGGGAGTCGACACGGCATAAAGTATGGGACCTTCAAAATCGAGCCATGACCGAGTATGTCAAATTACATGACAGTTGGGAAGAGCATTGCAAGGAGCTGAGTTTGCTCAAGGATCGGAGGGTGCTGCTCACGAAACTAAATTGTGATCATGCTAGAGACGTTCGATGTCTGAGCACCTATTTGGCTCGCAAACTAGCACATCCAGATCTGTCTGTTCACGCCAGGGCGCCCTTGCACGTAAACCTAAGGTCATCGGAGTTGCTGCGGAACAGCGTTTTTCTGGGAGGCGGAGCTTACGGCACAGTGGATAAGGTGCAGTGGCTTGGCATGCTGTGTGCTGTGAAACAGATCCCGAACAAAACCGATGTAGACGAAGAGGTTAGGATTTTATCGAAGCTGCACCATCCCAACATTATTCAGCTTTACGGGTACTTCATAGAGGAACGCACTTTGTATCTCATCATGGAACTAATGGAATCAAATTTATGTACGCATGTAATGGGAAATCAATGGAGAGAAGTTCGGATGTCCCCCCATTTTCTACATGCAGCGTTTGATTGCATGCTTCAAATAGCGAAGGGGATGCGGTATTTACACAGCAAGGGGATGGCACATCGGGATTTGAAGGGTTTAAATGTGCTCGTGAAGCCGAGCGAGAATCGTGAGCTTCAGAGCAAAGGCTACTTGACTGTGAAGTTGACAGACTTCGGAATGGCCAAGGCTAATCTTCAACACTCGACGTACACAGCTCAGTCGATGAATGTGGGGACTCCTGCGTGGAAAGCTCCCGAGCTCTTCAAGTGGTACTCATCCGATTCCCCAAAGCACAATCTTCCTAGGGAGCGCAAGTATTACCCTTTCAAAGCTGACGTATACAGCTTCGGTATGGTCTGCTACGAAATTTTGTGCGGGAGTATACCGTTCTCGAATGAGACGTTGACGCCGCGCAGTGTATTCTACGCTAAGGTCAAGGGTGGGATTAGACCGGAGCTGCCGGAAGAGTCTTTGAAGGTAGTTCCTGGACTCTCCGACTACATTAAGCTTTGCTGGGATACTGATCCTTGCAGACGTCCGGACTTTGTCAACATATGCAAACGAATTCGTCATTTCCGAGATTATTTGTTGAAGGTTGATGCGTACTCTGGTTGGGAGCGTAAAGCTCTCGGAAGCGAGAGGATAGTCGAGGAGCTTATAACCATAGACGACGATGAATTAATAGGTTTGTACCAAACTCTCATTACGTCAAGATCAAATACACATGCATTATGCAGTTGGTAAAAAGATATCCTCTCATTTTTAGGCTGTGAAGTGATGTGTGGAGTGTGGGGGAGGGCAGCGAAATCATGATGGAAATTACTCGTCTTTGTAATGACGTAATTAACTTGAATGTCTTGGCACTCAGATGCAGATGAATGGGACTGGGAAATAGACTACAAGGACGTTGTTCGTGTTGGAGAAGCCCTACGTGCAAGCAGCGGATTTTCGTCGGTATGGATAGCCCAGTGGAAAAAAACCTCTGAGAAAGTCCTGGTCAAGTTTATTGAGCCTACTCTGATTGACAACGAGGAGAGCATTGCAAATTTTAAGCGCGAGGTGGAGCTTCTCGTGAGGTTGCGGCACCCAAATCTTGTACATTATCTTGGGGCAACTAAACAGGCGCAATTTGTAGTACTCACTCAACTTGCTCCAGGAGTGATGCTCCGTAATTTCCTCAACAAGAAACCCACGGTGTCGCCTTCAGATGCAGTGAGTATTGCGCTCCAAGTTGCCCTTGGAATAGCGTCCTTGCACGGAGAGCAGGTTTTGGTGGTGCATGGTGAGCTCTCCCCTGATTGCATCGTAATTGATGAGCAGACCATGACTGTAAGGGTTGCTGATTTTGGCATGCAACGCTTTAGGCTTCCTCCGCAGAAGCACTGTCAACCTCGCTGGTACCGAAGGGCTCCTGAGCAGCGCCAGGGCCTCTCCTTACACCCAAGCTGCGACGTCTTCTCCTTCGGAATGATTGTCTACGAGCTGCTGGAGCACGAGAAAGCCCAAGCCTTCTGGAAGCACAAAAAAGCCTCAAAAATGGTTCTGATGGGGCATAGGCCTCCACTACAATCTGCTTCACGTTATCCGAGAGGTATGAAGACATTGATTGAGAAGTGCTGGGCACATAAGTGGGAAGATCGGCCTAATTTTGAAGCAATCGTTTCAGCATTGCAGAAAACGGTCACCCATCAAAATCGGCTCTCTTCATCCAGCTGCAGCAGCAGTTCTAGAAGGGGATAGATCAGGAACATAGAGCATTCCCTCATGATGGGTTCACTGTTCGGTGCTTGCAGCTGGTAACATCGAGAACCTCACAACCCATGAACTGGAGATTCCGACATTCATTGTTTTTGTGATCTACAGTGCTTCGCAGCACAGATACCTCTGGGTCACACATATTGGAACCTTCAAGGCGGTAGCGTCTTGTTGGAACTTCTCAATCTCGCTGCTACCAAGGTCAGCATTAGGTACGGGTTCACTTTCCAAGAATGGCATTTATTTACCTGAAATTTGGAAGTCTCTTGCTTCAGCTGCTCCTGTCTCGTTTTAAGAAAAATTTCGTGAGACTTCCATATGCAGAACATGAAGATGAACAGTTCGTAGGATGTCCAGTTTCGTCGTGTATAGTATTCATTTCCAATGGTTTTATGAGTTTTTTTTTGTGTGCATGCAGTTTCAGCATGCGGAGGTAATGTCGCCTGCACTTCACTCACCTCTCCAGCACTCAAGCGTCTGAATACCTTCAAAGCTTACGTTTATTAATAAGATGACCTTCATTCTCAGAGTGTAGCTTTATTCGGAGCCAGATTGGTAGTTTTGAATCACTTGCGTTTACCATGCTGCAGTATGCTTTCTAAATATTAATGACATTCAGATCAGAGATAAATTGGTTTTTTTTTCTTAGCACCCAGCTGTGTCATGTCCCTCACTTCAGACCAGATTGGAGGCTGCATAGTTTTTAGGTTCATCTTTGCTGGGCTGTTCATGGCTATGGTTTGCGTCGTTCTTGAGCTTGTAGCAATTCTCGTCACACTGTGTCGCTCCCTCATTCGTCGCACTTATGCTTCCCCGTCTCCTACAGCTACTCCAGCCCCTGCTCCTCCTTCTCCACAGCTTGCTGAAAGGGATAATAAGTTTTCTCCTGCTTTAAGGAATCAAGGCTTGAAATCAATTAGAAATATCTATCGTAAACCCTGTGTTGTGCTGAATGCAACAGAAAAGACCTGATCCTTCGTCTTCGCAACATTGGTACCCTCCACAGAAATATGTATCCTAAATCAATCTTCTGATTTGACCGATCACCAATTGCGCTCAATGAATCTGCACATCTTTAAAATCGACCCAATTTGAATATCGTCACTCTCTCATGGGATAACAAACTACAAGCCATGAACATTTTCTAAAATACTCTGTCCTGGTTAAAGATAGGCCCACCGATTGGCTAAATCCAAGGGTTAGTGTTTGAACCACGGAAGTAGGCTACGCGTCGGAAATAAAGCGGGGGTTCAGGGTTCAGGGTTTAAGGTTTCAACTAGAGTGCTCGTCGTGATCGCTAGACGCAGCATTAGCATCTGTAGTTTCTACCGAAATTTATGAATCGGTGCCGAAGCTAGTGTAGCTGGGCCTGCGAAGGGTGCGACAGCCGATTCCATTTGAAGGTCGTCGGACAGGGTTTTGGAGTTTTTTATTTTTATTTTGCATGTTTATCTTCCGCTCGGTGTGGTTTCGTACGATGCATGACGGAGATGAGGCACTGGAATTAGGTCTATGAGCATTGTTTTATTGAGGTGAGCGCGGAGTTGGTTGGTGGATTGAAGCATTTCTGAGGAGAAAACCGTGGAGGTATTGGAAATTGACGATGGCAGCAACGTTAGCGCGGGCTCGGCGGTCGCATTCGCTGCTGAAGCTTGTATTGTCACAACGATCTCCCTGCACGTACCAGCGGTGCGGTCTTGCGTCGTTGAGCGCCTTTGATGGTCGCCGCGCAATCGATTCGTCCGCTAGATTGTTCGAACTGAGTTTATGGAGGAATTATTTGAACGGACTGATGTCTGCCCGCTCAATGGCTACATTCAACCGAAAGTGAGTGGGTTCAGTAGTTTTTGCGATTGCATTTAGCCACAATTTCTTTTTCCTTTTTTCCTGATATCATTATTACTGTTCTCTGGTTTTTTGTATTTGCGGCAGATTTTGAGCAACCCTAAAATCGTGCATGACAACTATTTTGAATGCCAAGATAGCCGAGAAGGCATTTCGAGCGCTTAATTTTGTTGTGTAACAATGATCCTCAGGATTTTATGGCAATGTCTCGTGCTGACCTTTTTCTGGCTCGTCAACATTACCATCTCTTATTGTCTCGTAACGTGTTTGACATTCAATCGAATTGGGGTTTCCTTAGGGTTTACTAGGGTTATTAGAATTCACATGTTTCCGTTCATATTCACTGTAATCGGACGTGAGGAGTTGACGCTATAAGAATTGACCAGTTCATAAAAATTAGGGTTAATTTTTTTCTGTTTTTAGCTCAAGTAGGTGGAAGTTGAGCTTTATTAATACATTAGATTTCGACTACCTGGTGTTGTCAACGAGCAGTAGAGTTTAAGTCTATCTGGTGCTTAGAGGTGGTTATATTTCATACAAGTTTTCGTTAAGCCAGTAGTCAAGGAAGAGATAATTATGCAAGCAGATTGCTTTCTAAACGTTGCACACGCTGACTTCAAACTTCAAACCTTTCTGACATGCATGCAGTAAGCCGCACATGAACATTGGAACAATTGGACATGTGGACCATGGGAAGACTACCCTTACAGCGGCAATTACCAAGGTGTTCCTCGGCCTTGAGAGTTTATGTGTCTCGAGTTCTTTTCGTTCACATCATTTATGATCTAATGTTATGAGGTTGCGGATTTAACAAGATTCATAAAGATCTTTTGACTTACTGTCCGTACATTATTAACTTGGGCAGGTTTTGGCTGACGAGGGTATGGCTAAATCGATTGCATTCGACGAGATCGACAAAGCCCCAGAGGAGAAGCAGCGGGGTATCACCATTGCCACTGTAAGCCACTCCCCTGAATTTCCCAATTATACAAGCTTATCTTAGTATTGTTTCTCAACATACGCATGTGCACTCTCTTTTCAACAGCACTGTGTGCTATGCAATTGAGTTTACAGAGATCGTTTAGTTTAAATGTGTTCTTACCAAAATGGTTTTTATGCTACAGGCACATGTTGAGTACGAAACAGAAAACCGACATTATGCCCACGTTGATTGCCCAGGACATGCGGATTATGTGAAGGTAAGGTGAATGGCGCCTTTTAAGTGGTCCTGCAATTCCTTTGTCTCTGGGCACGTCTTTTCTATATAATGTAATCTAATGAACTCTTTTAGGTATCCTAAAGAGGATGCACGAGAAAAACTTTGTGAAGTACTAAGTACAGAAATCCCTTTTTGTAGAACATGATTACAGGGGCTGCACAAATGGATGGAGGCATTTTAGTTGTTTCGGCACCGGATGGGCCTATGCCTCAGACTAAAGAACACATTCTTCTCGCGCGACAGGTCAGTATATTTAAGGTGCCGGGTATGTGTTATCACATAGCTCTTGTAACCAGTTTAAATACACGGAAAAGGAATGAGATGTCTTGTAGGATTATCATGTTATAGTTGTTTTGCACGAGTTTTCTTATAATTCATGATGGTCAGGTAGCCTACCCATGATAACATGCCCGTTCCATGGCTTCTGAGTTATTTTGCAAAATGTGACAGGTTGGGGTTCCATCATTGGTGGTTTTTTTGAACAAAGTGGATGTTGTCGAAGATGAGGAGTTGTTGGAGCTTGTGGAGATGGAGTTGCGAGGTAGACTCTCTTTAGATTCGTTGGTATTGTTTTCATAGTGTATTTATCTTATTTTAGCATTGACCGTGAAGTAATTTTCTCGTTTGCTTTACTTATGGATCAATAACTGGTTGGTCGCTTCTTGTGTAGAGCTCCTGTCCTTTTATAAGTTTCCAGGTGATGATATTCCCATCGTTAGAGGCTCCGCTCTCGCTGCTCTGCAGGGAACTAACCCAGAGCTCGGGAAGAATGCGATCTTGAAGTTGATGGAGGCTGTAGACTCATACATTCCTGAGCCTAAGCGCAATCTTGATAAGCCATTTCTTATGCCAATTGAGGATGTTTTCTCCATACAGGTGAGATCAGTCTCGAGTTTTTTGATTGCTGACTAGATGCTTCGGTTACTGCTACTTCTGACCCTCCTGAATCACAAGCTTAGTTTGTATGTATACGTTAAATGGTAATTTTTCTATGTAGCTCCCACAAGCCTCTCAAACCCCTTTGTGTAGACGTGCATTAGTGGTTCTCATGGCTAAAGTAAGAACACCTCACTGAAGTTTCCAAGGTCCTTGTAAGTCCGTGAGACCAGTGATTGTAGCCGTTATTCAAATGAGTCTATTTATTTCAACATTTTATCTTGTGATCAGGGTCGTGGAACTGTGGTCACGGGACGGGTTGAGCAAGGTGTGGTCAAAGTGGGAGAAGAGGTGGAAGTTGTTGGACTACGCACGGTATGGAAGACCATTAGATTTCTGTTATTGAATTCTATGACTTAAATCCTTTTTTCTCCGTAAGCTTACCCTTTTCAGTTCTCCTAATTAAGATTCCCTGACTTCATATATTGTAGGGTCCCAGCCTTAAAACCACTGTAACTGGTGTGGAGATGTTTAAGAAGCAATTGGATCAGGGTCAGGTACTATTTATATGCCATTCTGGAATCTCCCTTCCGGTTTTTTTGTTAAGTGGATACGGTCGAAATTTTTAATAAGATTGAAGAGGTGCGTATGTAGGACGGGGATAATTTAATATTTCTGCAGGTTTACTTTCTTGGACAGCTTGGTTTATTTGATGACTTCCTTTTGGTGTGGCAGTGATTTACCTTTAACACTAATCGAATTGAAATGTTATGTTGATACAGGCAGGAGATAATGTGGGTCTTCTGATTCGGGGTCTTAAGCGTGATGAGGTACAGCGTGGACAGGTGAGTTTTTGTTTCATCAACATTAGTTCCACATTTCTACAATTGATATCAACGGCCAAAATCCTCTAATTACTTTTGAATCGGCTCCATTTTCATTAATTAATCTGCAGTGAGATCCCCCTTATTAATGTAATGTGCACTGATTCTCCTTGTGGTTTTTGTGTGTGGTGGGAATACTAAAGGTTATTTGCAAGCCTGGCACTGTTAAGACAAACACGAAGTTTGAAGCAGAGGTTTACATTCTTACGAAGGAAGAGGGAGGTCGACACACTGCTTTTTTCTCCAACTACAGACCCCAGTTTTACCTGCGTACTGCTGATGTGACTGGTAAGGTGGAGCTTCCAGACCACATCAAGATGGTCATGCCGGGAGACAACTTGACTGCCCAATTTGAGCTGATCATTCCTTGCCCCCTTGAACTTGGTGAGTTTTTTTGTCGCCGTTTACCAGAAATTCATTGTGTCAATGATCCAGCCTGAACTTTACTTACGTGTTTTTGTATGGTGTTAGCTCTGGTTATCCTCTTAACTGCCGATTTCCTAATGCATGGTACTGCTTTTAGGACAACGTTTTGCTCTTAGAGAAGGAGGAAGGACAGTTGGTGCTGGCGTTATATCTAAGCTTTTGGGTTAAATAGATAAATTCCCTTACAGAAATGGGAATATTACAGCTCCGTCCAAAAAGACATTATTAGCAGCAGTGTAGTTTTGATATCTCTTTCTAGTCTTGTTTAGATACGAATTTTTTGGGAACGTTTGATCCAGGGCATTTTTATTGCTGGATTATGACGTTTTATTTTATGACGGAGGAGAACAAGAGTTAATACACATTGCAATTTGAAGGGAGAGTGTGGTTATGGATGTAAA